TGCTGCTCAAAAATAGGTCTTTGATCTCAAACCTTTCTTACTCAGTTTTTTAATTTACAAGCGCCTCTGCACTTCCTGGTCTCAGGCCCGACAGGAAATGGAAGTACCAAAATACCATGAAAATGGCTGCGCCTGTGGTAAGTCTGGTCTGGCTGAAGAAGTGGAAACGCTAGCAAAGTCCTGAGTGAGCCAGATCTTGAAAAGACTTCTAGCCTGATTTCCAAACTAACACAGTCCAGATAGGTTCTGGATAGCAGCTAAACCTACGGAGACTTCTCAAAGCAAACCAAGCCCTGGATTTACCAGTTTTCAAGGAATAATCATAGATGTTCTTCAAGGTATTTGGTGGGCAATAATGGAAAGATGAAAATATCACAGCTGATCAAAGCATGTGTGATTTACCTCTTTCTGTTTCCTTTGTCCTGCTCTTCCTTCCCCATTGACAGTCAATTCCACGCTTTGCTTCTAGCTTTACAGTCTTCCAGGTGAGAGGTTGACTTGCCATCTCCATTACGTATTTCATATAATAAGGTACAGTTTATGTTGACCGCATGCAGAAATATTATTTTTAACGGCTGATCAAAGGTTTTGCTGACTCTTTCAATAATAAATCCTCACAGGTTTTGGGTTTGTTTCTTTAATGAGAAGTGTCTTGAGAGAGAATTTATAGTAAGGAGGCATTGTTGAAAGCGCTTTATTTTCAGAGCTGATGTACCCTTGATTGTACCAATGCCCATTTGCAGTAACAATGCTATTAGGATCTGAAGCCACTTACGGTCTTATTTACGGTCTTGGTTTTTGAGTCAAAATTAGAGTAATTTTTCCAAATGTTTGGGTTTGCAGGCGCCACCCAAATGGGTCCTTAACTTGGAAAGCTTTGATTGATTTAGCTTCCCTTTACTGAACTACCTTAGTGGTCCATCCTATACTGGTGAGTGTTGTGGAAGCTATCCAGGGCATTAAATACTATTGAATACTCACAAAGCATGTGCCAGGGGAGAAAAAGAAAGCAATTATTCCCTGAAATATTCAGCCTCTGACGAAAGAAACTTTTAACAGGCAGAGGTGCTCATTTCAAGAAGTGATTTCTAGCAGACTTTCTTCCTTTGTAAGGCCTAGGATCAGTACTAGATAGAGAAAGACACATCGTTCAGCAAGGCTTTGAAAGTATAAAATTAAATAGTTTGTGGTATGTTACAAGTCATCAAGATTTTAAAATAAGAAACACTTGTGTCCTATTGTTTGTACAAGCACACGCACACACAACACTGTAACTGATATAAAAGCCAAGCCAATGCTTCCAAAAATACGGCAAAACAATGCCAAACTAATATGGAGATAAGCATGGTGATCTTAAGCTTATTCTTTCTTCAAAACACTGCATTTCGAAACAAAAGTAGCTATAGCCTCAAGATATGACTATTCCTCTAATATAATATGCCAATAAGGCTCAGCCATCACCAGTTTTCTACACCCAGAAAGAATAGGTGCATATCGTCGAGCAGAATAAAAACGCAGCATCGAAAAAGCATTCCAACAATGTGCTACAAGAATTCCAGGCTATTACCTGACTTTCAATAAACAAGGTAACACTGAAGAAATTTTGTGGAAATTAAGAATGTTTTACATTATTATTTGACACAAGGGGAGGAAAAAAAAACAGGAGCAGCCAAATTGGCTACAGTCCCTCCAAATCTCACTGTTTCTTATGAGACAGCTCTCAGTCTACCTTCCCAAAATGAAAGCCATTGTTCTGTTGCCAATGTTTGTTTATTTGAAATAACAATAAGTAGAATACTAAATAATGCTCTCCTCCACCATCCATCCCTGTGGCTCAGTTAGTAATTCAGGACTGGAATATCACGTTTCCCCCCACTGTGCCTATTTCTGCAATATGTTTCTACACAGGAGACAAGTCCAGGAGCAACTTGAGCAAAGAGTAATTTTTGACCACAAGAGGCCAAGATTGCTACAAGTTTAAAGTAGCTCTGGGCTATGTCTAAGCCAGTGAACCCACAAATACTTAAAAACTCTCAGACCCTGGTACATATCTTAGCTTCCCAAAAACGATTCAGCTCTTCCTTCATGCTTCTCCTCTGCTCTGGCACACAGATAATGAAATCTAATGAATCTAATGAAAAGCATGACATCTATTACAAAAACATTATTCCTAATTAAACAAGGATACAGATCTATAACTGCTGAAAGTACTGTCTGAAAGCAATACTTGCTCTACTTCTGAAGCTGGAAAGGACATCAAGCTAAAACAGCTCAGAAAGTTGTTTTGCCAAATTAAAAACATAACGACAGGTACTGGTGCCCCCTCCCTGCCCAGCCATCATCCAGTTTGTCTCTCAGAACCCAGAGTTGTTCAAAAGGTAAGCAATAAAAAAAAAATCTGATTCATACAGCCAACTTCTGAAAGAATGACACTGATGCCAGGAGCTTCATTAAAATAATTCTTGCTAGAGGAAACATGAACTGTACTATCATAAGGTTGCTACAGTTCATCTTATGGCAGATTTACCACTGTGGTTAAGGAGACTGTGCCTCTGCTGTTATTGCCACCACCTGGCAAGCCGCATATCCCTGACAGCGTGCTATCATTGGGGTTAGGCACAACCTTCCCTATAATCATCCTGCAGTTTTCATAAAACTCTCATCCAGAGAGAGGGGATAAGACATGGGAAGTGTTCCATCCCAGTGGCATCTGGTTATTTTTCTTTCTAATTCTAACCACAAATAAGGGGGAAAACTTCATCTGATGCACAGAAAAGAACGGTAGCTCTCTGTCATTAAATAAGGGCACAGCAGGTGAAAAGGAAATAATGCATTTCCCTGTTGTTCCTACATGGCCTGGGTTTGGTTTTTTTTACAATTGGGCAGATCTCACTCATGAATATCTGAGAAATGTGTGGGAAGAAGTTATACAGTCTGTGAGCTATAAGCAAAATGACTGCGGGAGTGGAGAATGATTTAGTGATGGTACTTGTTGCTGTTACAGTGTTGTTGGTTTGGTTTTGTTTAAACAGGGAAGTACACAGATAGCAGAAATAAACCTGCCTCGTGCCACCAGAACTCAAAGTTTAGTCTTGCAAGAAGTGCAGAGTATGTGTGCATGAGCATGTGTGTACTGTTTTTTTACCACGGGTGTCTGTCGGCTCATTACCCGTTTTATGGAAGGATTCAGAACATATGCTGCTACTCATCTGTGCTGGCCATCTCTGTAAGAAGAGCACAGACAGAAGGAAGATCAGCATGGGTTCACTATAGCCCAACAGCAACACGTCCTCCTATTCCTACCAAAATGTTTGGTTTTTGCTCGGATTGAAAACTGAAAGCCTCCAGCATCGATGCCTCTTTGGTAGCAGAGGGTTGGGGACTCCACCAGTATTAACTTATCTGATCACGGCTCATAAAGATGCACGTTACTGTAAGGTGCATAAATGAATTATGCACACTTGCTCGGTGAGAGGGGGAATGAAGTGGATGTAGACATTTCTGCATCAGCTGAAGTCAAACGCATCCACATGAGTTGATGCCATTTAATTTTTAAAGGGTTTTCCTAAGTGCCCTCAGCCAGATTTTTATTCCTCTAGCTTTAGGGAGGCAGGCAGCCTCTGAACAACAGTTACATTCAACAGAGCCTTACAGACACACATGGAGAGGCTTTGGTGTCATTTCATTCAGGGACCATTTGAAAGTGATATAACAGCCACCATCACTCCTGTTTTACATTTGGACGTATTCAGCATTTCTGATTTACTTCTGTGCTAATATTCAGAACTTTTAAAATGCATTTTAGAAATAATATAACATGTAGTCTCTTGCAAACTCCCTTTACATATTTATGAAAGTGAACTTGGAATTAAATTACAGTGTTACCCTGTTAACTGGAATAAGGTACCACCTGAGGGCCCATGGGTGCTTCAAATGAGGTTTTTAAAAGAGAAAAAAAAAAATCACTGCAGTTTCTCTGTCCCTCACTTGGAAATGTCACACACTATAAAATCCACATAGCAAACTCATTCCTTCAAGGTTTTCAATTCTCAGATTCTAATCTCCAAATCATTTCAAAAGAGGAAAAAAAAAAAAAAAAGAAAGAAAGAAAGAAAAAAGGAAAAAAGAACAAACAAAAAGCAATCCACCAAGATGAGAAGGCAAAACTTCCTCTGAAGAATTTCAGGTATGAACAGCTCAGCCCCCCCCTCCGCCCCAACTTCTCCTTGAGCTTTCCCTGTCCGCCCCTTCCTTACTGAAAAGAAAGATAAAAAGAAAACAGCTCTCAGTATTTTGCAGAGGTTTTTTTTTTTTTTTTCTGAAAAACCGAGACAAAAATAGGGTCTATTTCACTTTGCAACTGCCTGTGACTTCAGCACAATAAACTCCAAGGGGCACAGCCTTCACCAAAACACTTAGAAAACAGCTTCCAAGGGATACTCCTTGCCCGTTATGTTTACTCAAGCACTTGTTTAAAAACATTTAAGGAAAATGTTTTTATTTCTACAGATTGCATTAATTATAGCTTTGCAAACACTGTGAGCCCTACAAGAAGGCTGCACTAGCTATTAGCTGCAAACCTCAGGTCTTGGCTGGAGAAGTGGTTATGGCTTATTTAGCAAGCCTAATGAATTGGCTCACCCATCTCCACGCAGGGTTCCATGTTTAGCATCATGGAGTCTGGAATAGCCAAGGAGGGCTGTTTCGAGCCGCTTTATAAGCAAAAATAAAATGAAATCGGTCAACCAGAAGCAGTCCGCAAGCAGACCTCAATGCAGCGCTCTTCCCCTCTGGGAAAGAGAAGTGGCACCACGGGCATTAACTTTGGCCCGAAGCTCTGCGGAGACCCACAGGAAACTTCCACCGCGCTCCCCCGGCAGAAGCGCAGTGCCCGCTGCAGGGAGCGGTGCCGGGGGGGGGCGGATGGGTCCGTCCGGGCCGGGGCAGCGGCAGTCGCCGGCTCAGGTGCGCCCCGGGGCCGGAGCGGCGGGCGGCCTTACCGTGAGTGCGGAGAGCTTCTGGGCCGGCACGGCGGGGAGCAGCTCGGGCAGCAGCAGCAGCAGCGGCACCCACATCCTGGGGCTGCGGCGGGCAGCGGCTCCGAGAAGCGGAGGAGGGGGACTCTCCCCGGGATGTCGCTCCCCAGAACGCCCGCTCTCAGGCTGGGAGGTTCCCGCTCAGGTCTTTTTTCTAGTTTTTAACCCTCACCCCTTGAGGCTCGGGGCCGGGAGCGCAGACGGCAGTTTTCTCCCTCTCTCCACGTCTGCCGGGCAGGGAGAGGCGGCTCGGAGATGCTCCTCTGCCTCCTCCTCCCTCGGGGCTCCGCGTCTCCGGGCAGCCCTTTCTCCCCTCCGTCCAAGTCCACCCAGCTGCGGGGGAAGAGGAGGTAAAACTGGGGGGGTGTGTGGGAAGGAAGGCTGGACCCTCCCACACCTCCCCAGCGCTGTCCGCCGCCTGCGAGGGGAAGGCACTGCCGCTGCGGCGGGGCTGGCGGTGTGCGACCTCGCCGAAACGCTCGTTCCCTTTTCCTCTTATCCTCCCCCTGCCCAGCCCGGCCTCCGCTTTCTCCTCCCAGACCTCGCGGGTTAACCCTCCCCGATGCTCCGGGGGGGCGCCGGCTTGCCCCCCCCTACTTCAGCGGGGCTCGTTCTCCCCCGCCTCCTCCTGCAGCACCACGCACAAATCCGGGAAGAGCGGGCCGGGGGGCTGAGCCCCTAGCCCTGCCCGGGACACCCGGTAGCGGAGCCCTTAGGAGGGCGCGGGGCAGTCGGGGATGACACACGCACACGAGCACATGCACACACGGAGCGCAGCGGGAGCTGCTCGCACGGAGCGGAGCACCCCGAGGAGCTGCAGGTTGCTCCGCATGCAGTCCGTGCCAGGTGAAAGCTCCCTCCTGGCAGTTTTGCGCTTTTCTCCCTTGTGTTTTGGGAAGCTTGTAAAGAGATCTTCTTATTTCCTTACTTAGAACAGTCAGAAGATCTCCTCTCCCCTGACTTCCTGAAACAAACCGTTTTTACTGCTTTTTTGTCAATGAAGGAGTCCCCCGCTCCTCTCATGAGACCCGCAGCTCTCTGCCAGCCCACAGCGATCCCAGTGTCTCAATGGTTCTTTATTGTTCGGGTACGCTCCTCCTTGGGAAGCTGCAAAGTGGTGCACATGCAGCACACCAGTGACATTTCCCCTAGGAGTCCAGACCTGACATCGCTGGCTTGTCATGCCTCCTGGGGATGGAGCGGCAGCCTCATGCACAGTGAACCAAGGCAGAGAAGTGGAAATCAACTGAAGACAGATTTGTGTGTCCTGCTTGGGACACCCACTGCTGGCTGTTCCAGATCCTATAATGTTCAAAGCATGCAGCCAAGCAATGTCGTCATCATTTTGCCAGATCTTAGCTGGGCACCTAGAGCAGTAAAAAATTGGAGGTTTTTATAAAACAACATGATAATACGAAGTCTGTGAATGTTTGAGTGTGTTCATAATACCTCCTGGACTTTTTAAATGGGAAAAAGGAAAGATAAGGAAATCAACATATGGCATTGCCCAGGTCACAGCTGGCTTGGGACCCTACCCTCCACCATGCAGACCCCCAACAGTCTCCCTCTAACAGCACCTAGCAGATGCTAGCAGGGATAGCAGGGATAGCAGATTGCCATTTGCTGTAGTAAGCAGAGCAGGACCCTTTTTTCCAGCTGTTTCCTCTCAGCTGGGATGATGGTAAAACCTTGTGATATTGTTTCTGTCAGAACGAGAAGGAGTGTTTATTCTTGGTGACCATGCTTCCAGCCATCCATGCTTGTGTCCCCTCCATCGAGGCCCTGTCCAAGTGTTCACAGAATCACACAGAATCACAGAACCCTAGGAGCTGGAATGGGACCTCTGAAGATCGCATAGTCCAACAGCCTGCTAAAGCAGGTTCCCTACAGTAGCATAAGAAAACGTCCAGGTGACTTTTGAATACCTTCAGAGGAGACTCCACAACCCCTCTGAGACACCAGTTCCAGTACTGCATCACTTCCACAGTAAAGAAGTTCTTCCTTGTGTTACCTCTTTCATACATCAGTTATCCTTCATGTGGACCTAGTCCCATTCTCCTATAATCAAGCCTCTCATTCCTGTTTCCTTGTCAGTGCACTGTCATTGCAGCCCTCTTCTTTCTCCACCAGTCCATCTCAGTCTGTCTCCCTGTCCCATTCCAGGCCTCCTCACTGCCACACAGCCCTGCAGCCCCATGGCTGCTTTCCCGTCTGCCACACTCTTTGTAGCTTGTTAACCCCATGGCCCTTTCACCATCAGCTCAGTGTTCTGAACACTGGTGCCATTAGGCTGGGCAAATGCTCTATCAGCAGACACTACTAAATGGCATGGCAGTTTTGGTTTGACACAGCAGGAAGAATCCAAGCTCAGAATAGATGAGAAATTTATCTAACAAAAACAAGCCTCAGGTTTTTGAGGTTTTATAACTTCATGAAATCTCAGTGAATTTCCAGAGTTGGCAATAGCCAAAAGGCCAAAGTGGGAAGTCTGGAGTCCAGAAACTGGTGGCATTATGGTTTCAAAATAAAAACTCACTGCCAAAATATATGTTATTATTTTGTCTACTGTCATTTTCCCGGCTTATTTCTCAAAAGAGATTTGACTATTCTACCTAAAATTTCTTCTTCCCTTTCTTTTCCTCCCATCCCATAAGATAACTGAGCATAAAGAAAATATTTTTAAATGAAAGTCTGAGACCAAGTGATAAAAATACTGGCAAAGACTAAGCAAATGAAAATAGTGTTTTGTAATGTGAAAGGCAAAGTGACTGTAACAGGCAGTGCTGCCAGTCACCACTGTGGTGGTAAGAAAACTATCTGCCTTCAAGAACTTACAGTCTGATTAGATAAGGGTATAATAAGGGAAAGAAATGTTATTCCTTGTTATAGGCAGGGGAAGGACTATGGGAGAGTCGTGTCACGATTCTTCAGATAGAATCATAGAATCATAGAATTGCTCAGGTTGGGAAAGACCTTAAAGATCATCGAGTCCAACCACAATCTATCTCTCATTTAAGAATTTTGGCAAATTTCCAAAAGGTCCCCTCTGCACAGGTGGCACTGAAGGACAACTTTGTTTTCCCTTTCTTGCTCCAGTTTGAGTGGTGATTTTACCCAGAGACAGCACAGCCCTCTCCCACAGCCTGCTGTGTTCTGAGTCACGGCAGGGTGAATTTTGACCCAGCCACCTCCTCATCCATGCCAGGACCATGTCCAGACTTGATCTGTGCTGCATTAGGAATTGTATGCAAGCTTTCTGAGGTCCTATGTGGGTTCTTGCACAATGAGACCCACATCATCTCCTTTTCCCCAACTCTTCCCAGAACTGTGTGCTCAGGAAGTTGTACAAAGCAACTCAAGCTGCTTAAATGATTGAGCCTCACAGAGTAATCCTGTACAGTTTAATAACAATATATCCAAATATACAGGAAATACTCAGTGCAGTGTACTGGAGCATGACAACTTCCCTTTCCTATCTTTAATCAGGTTAAAAAATGGAAAAGGAAATTATATCTTGTCTGTAGAGTTTGTTCAGGCAGCTTTAAAATCCCGCAGACAGTTGGCCATTCTGTATTAAATTCATCAGGATTGTTCCAATAAGAATGTTGGAAATTCTAACTGAGAAGGGAAAAGTTGTCTGGCTCCTAAGTATCAGGACTACGGAAAGTAAATCCTCTTTTAAGTTTCAGTGCAGTGCTGCATGCAAAGGGATGGACCGCCAGGTCCAAAAAGAGCTGTGTTACTTGGCTAACGTATGTAAGGATTCAGGAGTCTGCTTTTCATTGCAAGATCATTTGGTTGGCAGAAGATAACACAATTTGTAGGAAGAGATTCTTTTTCTCCTATGGTTTTCTGACACCCACTGTGAAAGAACTACTAGGCAAAACCTCGGAATATTAATGGAGAGTAATATCAAAATTCAAAGAAGTTGTTCTTGTAATACTTAGAGAATATACAGATATTTATAGACATATAAACATGCACAGAACAATTATTTCTATGTCATATGTCCAAAAAGAGACTTTCCCTCTTAGGTTTCTACATTGTTGAGCATCACAAAGTGACAGAGACTGACAGGATCGGCAGAAGCACAAATAGAAAATATTTTTTAAAAGAGCAAATAATACTTAAAAAAATAAAATATTATCAGTATAGCTTCTAATAAACAAAAGTAATAAATCAAAACCAACTGACATCTGTAGAAAGTCTCCTGGGGCTTTAATATGGATATGAATGAAAAGACCAGATGGCAACACCAGACTTTAGCCCTACCATACCTGTGGCATTACACTGTATTCACACTGCCAGTCACAGTACTTGACATATGACTGCTCAAAAAAAAAAAAAAAAAAAAGTTTAATTTAAAGAAATACTAAAACTCTCTGCTGCCTTAGTTATTTGTGGGTAGTATGAAAGATGGCATCCCAGAGATATGTAGGAGGTTGCAAGCCTTCTTAATAAAAAAATAAAAATGACTTATTCATTTTATTTCTTTTTTTTTTTTTTTTTAAGTAGAAAGTGGTCTTTGTAAACTTCTCAAATGTTCAGTTTGTTTTAACACAGCCATGAGCAAACAGCTGATGACTGAGCCATGCTCTGTGCCACATGAAATGTAGAGTGGAATTTTTGAAAGTGTTTATAGGAACCAGGAGCTGAGATCCTGTTTTGGAGAGCTACAAAGGTGAGCCAAATCTTAGTCCCAAAACACCAAAGCCCACGTATTATTTGACCATTAAAAATAAAGCCATCAAACCAGCCATTTAGAAAGGGGACAGAATGTAGAAATAAAGCAAAAGTTGTGACTGCTTAGGAGGAACAGACCCATGACAACTGGCTTTCCTTGGGAAACACAGATAGCTTCAAAAAATGTCATCCTTGGGTGAGATCTTCCAGTATTATCACGCTGCATTTCTCATGATTAAAGATTATGATTTGGAGTTTTATCACACTTTAATGAACAATCAGCATGATGGAAAGGACTTAACCCTTCTGGCCAGTGACAACAGCACCACACGTGCTGCTCTGTATCTTGTAGGGTGAGAGCTAGAATGTTCCCCATCTGTCAGAGCCACAGTTCTGTTGGTTGTTGTAATGCAGGGAGAGGCATTTTTACTGACTCGCTCACCTTACATTAAATCATCCCTGTGGCCCATTCCACCCAAACCTTGGAACAGTGCAATTGGGATCAGGAGCAAACCCTGAAAAACAGCCCACTCCTCTGTTAGATGAACACCTGGGATGACAAAAAGAATATGAGCACTGATAGAGGGAATAAAGAAAAAAAAATAGCCTTTTGGAAATGTTGCTGACAAACTTAGTCTGCTCTATGATTATCAGGAAACAAAGACAGGACTCTATGATTCGCAGAGCCATGGAAACAAACAATAGTTTGGAGACAGCCGGTGGGAGGAGCCCAGACTAGGGAAAGATATATTTATCTCCAGTGCTAGATTTACTAGATTTACATCAACGCTGAAAATCTTACAAAAAATTGGCTATTACATATAGACTGCAATATGCTTTCCTTAGTGCTTAGCAGAGTAGCTGAAGCAACACAGGATGAAGGAGAATATAAAATAACAGCGGAATGTTTAAGTCATAAAATAGCTTTGAAATCATTGGGCACACAAGTAAAATGTGCTTGCCTCATATTTTTTCCCTTCTTTGACCAGATTTATTCTGCTCTCGTTGCCTGTTTGTTTTATGCCTCATCACTTTGTGGAGGAAGATCTTTCCATCTGCAGATAGAAAAGGAAGGAGTGAACAGTTTGAATGAGATCTTCTTATCAGGACAATCCTGGACAGCTGTCAGAGACATGCTTCTTCACCATCCCAAATGCGCTACTTCTCAGAAGA